TTTTACCCGAAATCGCCTATTTCACTACTACTTTGCCCTATTTCTACATTTCTTACCTAATGAGCTATTTCTTTATCATAACATGTCAATTATAACTAGTCTTAGGTGTCTAACGTTTGAAATCATAGCAAATTAGCATTCTACTAAGTTTTAGGACGGCTTTTACCCAAAATCGTCTATTTCACTACTACTTTGCCTGATTTCTACATTTCTTATCTAATGAGATATTTCTTTATCATAACATATCAATTATAACTAGTATTAGGTGTCTAATGTTTGAAATCATAGCAAGTTAGCATTCTACTAAGTTTTAGGACAGCTTTTACCCAAAATCGCCTATTTCACTACTACTTTGCCCGATTTCTACATTTCTTATCTAATGAGCTATTTCTTTATCATAACATGTCAATTACAACTATTCTTAGGTGTCTAATGTTTAGAATCATAGCAAATTAGCATTCTACTTAGTTTTAGGACGGCCTTTATCCAAAATCGAACCGAAAAAAAGTAAAAACAAGTGCCTCCTCAATGTGTTGGGCTTCAGTGCACCTATTGACTATGTCTTGCATAAACCTCATCACGTACAAGGCACAATCAACGCCGTTGTCTTGTTGCGCACACTAACATGACACAAAGTTAAAATAGTCATGCATAGCCATAACTCAAGGCAATTTTATTAAATAAATCAATATATCAAGGCTTTACCTTCGAATATTTCCACGTGGGACCCGCAACCGATCGACAATTCAACTTCTTCATAACACTTCAAAAAAATGAAAAACAAACAATTTAGGAACATAGCCACTCAATCACTTAGGTGATGATACAAAACAATATATAGGAATCGGTATGTACCTATTCAATAGGTTATTCACTAGCAACTTCCTTGGTGGCCATATACGAGCCGAGTCAAAGTAGTAGATTGTGTTAATGGAAACACAAATCACCATAAGGCTCCAATGTAGACTACATATATATTAAAGCAAATATAAATCCATCAATTGTTATGCGTCAACATCTATACTTAACAAGTAAATTAAGAGTGACATATTTAAACTTACTCCTCAAAGAAAGGGGCTAATATGAACTTGTTTCCCGCACGCATTGATTCTCTAATACCCCGCTCAAGGTAATCTATCACATCATGAGGGTTATGAAAGCATTTGGTTACGGAGGTCTACTCGGGGCATAACCACCCAACTGCTGCTTCACCATCGGGTTTACTACTTAGGAGCTCCTATAGTGACCTTCAAGAAAGTAATGTGTGCAAGTAATTACTAGTTGCATTGTTTTGGTACGAAAATATCAAAAATACAATATGTTTAGAAATAGTCTCGTTAATTTACCTCATGAAAGTTTGAATGATGGAAATGTTAAGCATGGAACCGGTTAGAAATTCCGTCACATCCTCTCTAGAAATGTATGCGATCGCATCCTCATCATAGTGGAACAATGCCTTAGGCAAGTTCACTTGAATATGTGTACCCGTAGGCAACTTACTAACACGGTTGTGAAGAAAAGTACATGCTTTAGAAAGCTACCTAAGGACATTGGCTTCTACCTGTGGAGTACATGAAGCTTTCGAACTCTTCTTCGACACTTGTCCTTGTTCCATCTTCGGAGGAACTTCTTCCTTGGATTTTGGCTTCTCCACCTTATTCCTTTTAGCGGACTGATTTTCCATAGTAATCTAGTAACATAAAAGAACATGGTCATTGCACAAAGACATGTTAATCTAGTTACATACAAGTAGTTACATACAAGTAGTGTTTACTTACCCCTCCTACCAACCTCAACCGATCACGTGGCCATTGCACAAAGCTCCCGGTCGCGTCACGCAGCTTAAAAAAATCATATTCCTCTCTAGGCATCGGTAGTGGTAAGCAACTATAGAATCGATCCCGACCGAGATGTAATGGGTGCTAGTATATATTAGACTTAAAATGGACCTTGTCAAAAGGTTGTGCACTACCATACCCCACCAACTGCAACTGTCCACCGGTGTTTTCCCCGAGGTGAAGAAGCTCACAAGCCGTCTCTTCCTACATATTTGATTAAGACATAAGTTATGAAATAACAAACGAAAGCCTAACATAAGAAAAGCTGATTACGTAGTGTTCTAGGTACACGTTCAGTGTGTCATCAATACAAATGGGACATGCTTTATGCCCTTTGTTCTTTTACCCAGACAGATTGCCATATGCGGGAAAATCATTGATGGTCCACATAAGGGCAGCACGCAAAAGAAACATCTCGTTCTTATGGGCATCATAAACGGTAACACCTCCGTCCCACATTTTTCTCAAATCATCAATAAAGGGATCAAGGTAAACATCAATGTCGTTTCCAGGTTGCCTTGGCCCCGTTATCAAAATTGAAAGCATTATATATTTCCGTTTCATACACAACCACGGAGGCAAGTTGTAAATCACTAAAAGTACCGGCCATGTGCTATGTTTAGTACTAAGAGTGCCAAATGGATTCATACCGTCCGTGCACAACCAAACCTTAAATTTCTGACTTCACCCCCAAATGCCCTAAACTTCATATCGATGTTCTTCCATTGTGGAGAGTCGGCAGGATGCTTCAACAAACCATTTTTCTTTCCTCCCTCAGCATGCCATCTTAGGTTCTTGGCGTCTTTTGGTATTGAAAATAGACGCTTTAACCTTGGAATAATAGGAAGATACCACAACACCTTGGCAGGAGGTCCTTTACTACCAGCATTGCAGCTTGATCGCTTGTAACGCGACTTACCGCAACGTGGACACTCCTCCAACTCTTCATATTCATTTCGATACAGAACACAATCATTAGGACATGCATGTATCTTCTTATACTCTAAACCAAATGGATACATTAGTTTCTTTGCATAATAATAGGAATTAGGAAGTTCATTCCCATCTGGCAACATATCACATAACGCAGTCAATAAAGAAGTGAAACTAGTGTCACTCCAGTTATGCTTAGACTTAATTTCAAATAGTGCAAGCACGGCTGAGAGTTTTGTGTACTTTTTGGACCCGGGTTACAAAGGCTTTTTGGCAGCCTTTGATAATGACTCAAATACATCAGGTCGGTCACCAAATTCACCTTCAACATCACGCATCATCTCATCCAAGTGATCATCACCACCACCATCCTCGGTGTCATCCCTTTCACCACCATCATCACTCCCATTTTCTTCTTCAACATGAATTTCGGCACTTTCAACGTGCGTCTCATTGCCAACAACATTCTCCCTATACGATCCCATCTCACCATGCCAAACCCAAACATGATTTTGAGGCCTAAACACATGACATTGTACATGAGCCATGATGGTATCCACACTATTGACCCTTATGACATTATTAAAATTGACACAAGGACAATAAAGGTAATTGACACCCGTTCTAAGCTGATACTGTGAAGCACTCTTGCAAAACTCTTGAACCCCATTAAAAAATTCCAATGTATCACGTCTACCATACGTCCAACCGCGATCCATTGACGCTTTAAATTGCCTTTAAACATACCAACACATTTCAAACAATGATAAATGTAACATATATTATATCAATCAAAATACATAGCATATATATCATCCATATATCGTAAAAATGAATGCTCCCAAAAGGTCCTTATCACTCCAACCTAACTCATCCTTGAACGTCTAATCTCACTAGTGAATGTATGTCAACTTTTCAATTTTAAGGAAAATCCGGCAGCATTTCCTCCCAGTTCTCCAAGTACACGATGTAGGTAATAACTTACCTACATATGTACCCAGAGAACATGGTGAGAAAATGAGAAGCCCGGATATTCCTTAAAATCGAAAAAGAGACATACATTCACTACCTAAGTGAGATTAAACGTCCAAGAACAGTCCCAACTGGGGACTATTCAAGACTTTCTCCTATTGAGAAAGACTCGAACGGGTATCTAGGAAAATGATGATGCAAGCATTCAATTATTTGCATTTATTTGACATTCAACAATAAACAAGTTCATTCATTTAAATAGTGCTAATAATTAAATTAACGTACATACAATCAAACTAAGTTTACTTATATATATATAGCAATCCATTATATTCATACATTGCAATTTACTAACCACATTTAACAAACTAAAATGTTAACTAATATATATTCTATTCATAAATTTCATTTAAAGCTACTCAAATTCAAACAATATATATATACATATGAAACTTGTGTTAACTACTTGAAACCCTAACTTGAAATTTTGGAATAACAAACAATTAATACTAGTTAATACATATGAAACTAAAATTTAGCAAGAACTCACCCTAATTTGAGAGTGAGAAAGACAAAGATTGAGGGATGAGGATGACAATTGGAGGGAGAGAGAGAGACAGCTAGAGAGTTGTGTGTTGTCCTGCGGTTGCTCGGTTCAACAACACCCACGAACACCACCACCAAGTGCACCTACGAACACCACCAGCAACCACCGGCAGCCTCGAGCAACCACCAGCAACCTCGACCAAACACCAGCAGCCTCGACCCACGACCCACTAACTACATGCACCTTCGAAATTAAATAGCCAAATTAAAAAAAAAAAAAAAGTATATGAATGGAGTGGTGGTGGTGGTGGCCAGAATCTGAAGAAGTGAGAAGAGAGGTGAGAACAAGGGAGACAGAGAGGAGGAGTGAAGGCAGGGGAATTTTTGGGAAGTGAAGTGGTGAAAATTCAGGGAGGAGAAGAGAGGGTATATCGCCCGCTTTTTTTTTTAAATGGTAAGCGGTTCGGGCTTGAACCGCTTGCCAATTTAACTAATGGTAAGAGGTTCAAGCCCAAACCGCTGGCCATTAGTTAAAAGGCAAGCGGTTCGCGCCAAAACCGCTTGCCAATTCACTTCTCTCTTCTTTTTTTTTATTAATTAAATGGGAAGCGGATTTTGTAAACCGCTTGCCTATTATGGCTTCCCATCACATTTATTCTACTAGTGTTTGTTGTTAAAACTGTGGTTGGGGATCATACTTGCATCAGAAACATGGAAAAGAACAAGCAACTGAAATGTAGCTGGCTTGCAAACCAGTTACTTGATGTTTTCAAAGCTAGGCCTCATTGGCCTGCTAAAGAAATTATTGAAACTGTGAGGAGAGCTTATAGAGCCATTGTGAAGCCTGATTTTGCTTATAAAGTTAAGTGGCATGCTCACTGGAAACTTCATGGGTCAATAAGGGACCATTATGGGAAGGTTGGTAGATACCTAGAAGCTGTGAAAAGGTTCAGTCCTAACACACACTTGGACTTGGTAACTTACATGGAGAAGAACAAGACTCCAATGATTTTTCAGAGACTGTATGTGTGTTTTGAGGGTGTGCAGATGGGTTGGAAGGAAGGGTGTAGGAAGATAATTTGTGTAGATGCATGTTTCTTGAAAACATTCCTAGGAGGTCAGTTGATGTCAGCTGTAGGGAGGGATGGTAATGATCAAATGTACCCAATTGCTTGGGCTGTAGTGGAGGGAGAAAACAATATTTCTTGGGAATGGTTCCTTAAACACCTCAGCAATAGCCTTGGTCTGGGAGAAGGAGATGGAGTTGTTATTGTTTCTGATGAGCATCAGGTACCTCTAAATCTTTCAATGTCATTAGTTTACATGTAATTTTCTTTGATTTGGTCTGTTTTAATGTAGTGGTTATTGTTGGTATGTTTCAGTCAATCTTAACTGGAGTTGGAGTCATTCTCCCTAATGCTGAGCACAGGCACTGTGCAAGGCATATTTATGCCAATTGGCACAAGTCCTTCAAAGGGGATGAATTGAAGCTTAAGTTTTGGAGCTGTGCCAAGGCATACAGTAGAGCTGACTATAAGGAAGCATTAGAGAAATTAACACTAGCTAATCCAACAGCTGTAGAGGCTTTCAAAGCATACAATCCAAAGCTGTTTTGCAGAGCTTTTATGAAAATAGAGGTGAAGTCTGATGCCATAACAAGCAACATGGCAGAGACTTTCAATGGGTACATAATACAAGCCAGAGCAAAACATCTACTGTACATGCTTGAAGACATTAGATCATCATTAATGGAAAGATTGGTGACAAAGAAACAGGAAATGGAGAAATGGACAACATCACTTTGTCCTAGGATACAAAAAAGGTTGGAGTGGGAGAAAGAAGAGGCAGCCAAGTGTCATGTCATCCCCTCAAGCAGTACATTGTTCCAAGTTAGTCACATTTTGGACACAATGAGTGTTGACCTTGAAAATAGGAAGTGCACTTGCAGAAAATGGGATATGACAGGCATCCCTTGTTGCCATGCTGTTGCAGAATTGTTCTTCACACATAGAAATGCAGAGGATTTTGTTGATGATTATTCAAGAAGGATAAGTACCTGCTGTGTTATTCAAATTCAATCCCTCCCTTGGAGGGGAAAAGACACTGGCCAAGGAGTGATTTGGTGTTAGACCCACCACCAATTAAGATAGGGCCTGGAAGACCACGGAAGAATAGGAGAAGGGACCCTTTTGAAGACCCCAAAAAACCTGGAAAGCTAACAAAACATGGCATGGAGATGACCTGTAGTGTTTGCAACACTAAAGGCCATAACAAAAGATCATGTCCAAGCAAAGGAACAACCACCACAGTTGAACCTCCACCCAAAAAACCTATGGGTAGGCCTAAGCTTCAGGTTGAATCAACACCACAACATGACCAAGCCAGCTGTAGTGTCAATTTAACAGCAACAACCCAATCTTCAAGGATAGGCAAGGGTGGAAGGGTTGTGAGCAGGGGAAGAGGGACAGGAAATGTAAGGGGCAGAGGAGGGGAGAGCAGCAGGGAAGGGGAGAGCAACAGGGGAAGGGGGAGCAGCAAGGGAAGGGGGAGTCAGGACAGTGGCAAAGCAAGGGGTGGTAGAGGAAGAAGTCAGGTGCCACAAGGTTATGGGGTGTTTGTTGCTGTTGATGGTTCCAATTACACAAATGTAAGAGTGTTTGATTGTTTGATTTGTGCTTATACAGTTCAGTTTGTATTCGAACAAACTTAACTATATTTGTGTATAGGTACCAAGTGGAGCAGGACCTCAAGATCTCAGCACCACAACATTCTCCTACAATTTCAGCCAAGGGTCCAAGATTTAAAGTGCAACACATGTAGTTAGGTTCCAATTCCAGTGTAATGGAAATGTATTTTGACTTATTTTGAACTTTTAGAGCCAAACAATATGAGTCATTGTGTTTACATACTCAAGCCAACTATGTGTACTGCTACCATATTTCAAGTATTTTATGCATTTTCAATTTTCTGTCCACTTTTTTTTTTCCTTTTATTTATCAATTTCTGTTCACATTTCAAGTATTAATGTGCAATGCAATACTTAAATCAAAATTTGCCAACAAATTAGGAACAAATTAAACCATAAAGTAGTTAATAAAGTCATGCATATATATTCCTTTCATAAGATTTTCTTACATATACCCAAAAACTTAGGCTCCCATTTTTAACCTAAAACAAAGCTAAAAATACTTCTTCCTACAACTGACATGTACTACTACTGACTGAGTAGTTACACCTTACTTGCATCACAAAAAACAACAAAAAATTACACAACTCAGCCACATACAAAAGACTACTACACACTACCTACTTCATTACTCCAACACCAAAACCAGACACATACTTCCCTAACATCTAGTCCTAAGGAACTATTTCAACAACAACACTAATGTAAAAAATGCCCAAGAGAAAACCAATGTCAGCATCAATCTCCTGTCAGTGTTGTGTTCCTTCAACTCATACATTATCTCAGTGGTGGCAATTCCCATCTCTGCAACCTCATCCACAAGCTCCTCCTTTTCGCTTTCAGCTTCTTGACCTTCTCTCTCAGACATTCGTTCTCATCTTCAAGCTCAGATATCCTGGAAATCTTATCAAGAACTCTGTGCTGCAAGACCTTAACATCATCTACTTCGTCGTACCACTTGAAGAAGTCGCATGTCCTCTGCTCCTACATATTAATCAAATTAATACGTAGAAAAAAAAATTGAAATTAAAGTAGCCTAACAAAACTTACAGGCCAGTATGAACAACCATAGAATCTTTTCCCTTTCGTTGGACCATTGTGGCGCACAGTTCTCAAAGGGGCTACATCGTCATGGTAGCAATACACTTGAATAGGAGAAGAGTTTCCCCTACTTCTAGATCTGGCACCAGACCCAACAGAACCATCACTTGTCGCCATTGATAAAATCAGAAAATTAGCTTTCAAGGTTGAGAATTTTAGGGGTAAGGAAGATAAAACAATGGGGATGATGAACGATTTTAAAGGAGGAAGAACAGGGGAAGTGAAGAGGGAGAGGAGGAGTTATTTCACGCGCAATTAATCCCAACTACCAGAATTAATTAAGGGAAGAAACCGGAAGAAATAAAAAAAGGGAAAAGTTTACCTGTTTCAGAAGGTTATGGTATATTAAAAGAAGATTAATAATAAAAGTGGGTTTGTCTTGTAAATATGCAAAGGTGGGTTTGTTACTTTCAGTTCGAGCAAAGGTGGATTTATTTATTTCCATTTTTCCAAAAAACAATTAACATTAATGAATAAGGCAAATATGTAAATAAATATTTTGGGGACATAATCGTATCAACACAATTCATAAAGTGTGGTCATATTTTTAAAAGGGGTAAATAAGTAAATAAATATTTTCAGGGGCATAATAAGAGTTTATTAATGCTTTTAAAATAGGTAGGGTTAAATAGATAATATGCAAGATATTTTCATTGTGTGCATTTATATAATTATTTTGAAGGTGTCCATAATTAGATTAAAATCGAAATTCAATCCAATTCAAACTGAATTATCAATTCGGATCGGATCCGAATTTTAAATCGGATAGATGTTTTTTGAAAACTCGGATTGGATCATACGACCCTAATCGACTTCAAACCAAATCGAAAACTGAATTTTAGAACTTTTTTTTTTAAAGCAACTGAATTTTAGAATTTAGCATGCCGTAATATGGAAGTTGCTGCTGTCTTAAACTATTGAAATTTGCTGCTTGATATTAGTACTAGCCCGTGCGATGCATGGTTTGTTTGAATATTTTAAAATAATTTTTTATATATATATTTATGTGCTAAAAGTCATGTCATCAATTCACGATCAATTTATTTATCCAATCAGAATTTAATAGGTATAAAATAGGAAATAAAAATTAAGTTAAAAGTGGAATACATTCAATATGGGTAGATCTTTTTGAAACGCCCAAAATAGTATATGGGACTAATTTCATTCTTATTTTTTATAATTTCATTCTTATTTTTATATTATCATTCTAGTTAATTAGACGTTATAAACTAATGTATTTTAATTCGGATTATCGGATTAGATCCAAATAACCAAATTTTAATTCGGATTGGATTGGGTGAGTAATTTGGATTTGATCGGATTAAAAATTTGAAAACCGAATTATATTTCGAATCGGATTAAATTTAGCCTAAATTCAAATTGAAAACCGAACGGACATCCCTAATTTATATTTTGAAAAGTGCATTATCCTTGTGATATGATCTCACTAGGTTATTAGGAAATAACTCATCCAGACTGGCTATTTAACACGACATTTTGAGACTAACCTTGTAATGCTCCAAAACTTTTAACTCAACAATTTTACACACCATTATATTGGTGCACACTATACATAGTATTTTGCCTCGTCAAAAAACAAATATATATATATATATATATATATATATATATATATATATATATATATATATAGGGGAGGGATCATGTGAGAACCAAGCCTTATATGAGAACCAAACTTATGCCATTAAAAATTATGAAACTAGCGGCTAAGATTAGACATATGCACATGTATACCCATTGTGCATTTATTGAGACAATGATCACTTTTCCCTCGAAAATTTAAAACTGCAATTTTAATGTCTAATCAAAACTGACGGTTGGTTTGCTTCCCTTACACACCGATTATTCTTACAAATTTACATCATTTCAAAAACCAATTATCTTACTTCAATTGTGTTCGCGCCCATAACTTCCATTGGGAAAAAAACGGAAGTAACTGCTACATTGTTCTATAAAAACCCCAAAAACTACCCAAAAATACCCATTATCGATTTTGTTAGCAAAATGAAAGAACAAACGCAAAAAAGGACTACCGAAGCAAGGAGAGTTTCAAGAAATTTCAGTAAGTTTTTTATAATTCAGTAAATTATGATGAAATAAGATAATGTAAACAGTTAGGGTTTTAAATTTTCAAAATGTTTGGTTTTTAACAGAGAAAGGTTGCGAAGAGAGTTGGATGGAGTGGAGGGGGAAAACCCTACGGAGGAGGCCGGCGTTCCCGCTGCAGCCGAACAAGCGACGGAAAACGTACAACCACCAACGACGGAAGCTCAATTGACAAAGTAATGTTTCCAATTGTATTGTTAATGTCACGCGAATTATACTTAGGGTTTCAAAAATTATATAGATTGTGTTTTGGCATTTTTCAAATTACTGCAACTAGGGATTTAAAATTAGTATCAAATTAATTTTGTTCCATAATTTTGTTATAGTGTTTCTAAATTTGGAATTATTGTAACGGAAAAATGAACCATTGTTTCTGAACGTTGTTATGTTTTGAATTATAAGAGTAATTATTGTTCCATAAGTTGTTGTTATTGTTTCAAAATTAAAAAAACGATTATGTTTCATTTTATAATATATAAATTAATTCAGTTTTCCATTTTCCGGAATAATAACAATTCTGTTTCATTTTATACTAATTATGTTCCATAAAATACATGTATTGTTTCATATACTAATTACATTGTTTCATGCATTAAATCTATTTTGTTTCATATTTTACATTAAGGTCGCTGATAAGGAAAAAGTGGTACCCGTGCCAAAAAAAAAGGAAGGAAACTCCAGCAAATGTACAGTCTGTGAAGGGGAAAAAAATCAGACATGTGCAAGAAGACAGTGATGAGGAGGAACAAGTGGCATTTAGACAACGTATTCCACCAGCCAAATTCATGAACATGTTATTGTAGGACTTCCGGAAGCTCACAAGCAAGCTATAAGGGATGTAGGCTTTGGGTCCTTCCTACTATTGGACCTGGATTCTAAAAAAAACAGTTTTTGTCACGAGCTTGTGGCAAGGTTCAACCCCGACAGAGCCTCCCTTCAATTGCCAAATAGAGAGGAGATAGAAGTCCTCTCGGAAGACGTCCATGTTGTATTTGGTCTTCCAATTGGAGGGAGAGAAATTAAAGACAATAAGTGGATTGAAGAGGATGAAGAATCGCAGGTTTTCCTGCAAAAATGGAGAGATCAATTTGATGATGGAAGTCCAGCCAATACCTCATTAATACAGCTGATTGAGACCCAAAAAGATGAAGATGTAACCAATGAATTCATCTGGAATTTCATTGTGGCTGCCATAAATTGTTGTGTACGATCTACATCTCGTTCAACATTAAATTTTAAATTTTTGTATTGCTGTGAGAATGTCTCACAAATTAAGACTTACGACTGGTGTACATACACATTTGAGAATCTGATAAACTCCGTAGCAGAATGGAAGGAAGGAGTTGCATACTTCACAGGACCTCTGCCATTCTTGATGATAAATATATTGTTTCAAAATCTTAATAAACTGTTTCACTGAATAATTACAATGTTACGAAAATAATCCTTACTGTTACACTGTTAATTTGAGTACTTGCTTTAGTATTAGCTGTTTCATATTTTATGTAAGTTGTTTCATTTTAAATACATAATGTTTCAGTATTAGCAACACAATGTAAGTTGCTTATGTAACTTGTTCAGATACCGGAATTCAGATATTGTTTCAGAATCCTAATAAACTGTTTCACTGAATAACTACAATGTTACTAAAATAATCCTTACTGTTACACTGTTAATTTGAACACTATTATCTGTTCTGTTTCAATTTTTCACGCAAGCAACTGCAAATTATAGACAACAGATTTCTAGAAGAAGGTGTTGAAATGGATGCAAAGTACGGCAATTTCCCAGCTACCATGGTAAAAATATGACACTGTTTCACTAAACATCACTGGTATTCCATTTTTTATTTTTTGATGTTTCAATTAGTATATCTGGTGTTTCATTGTTGATTTCTGCTGTTTTTGATTATATAGAATTTGTTTCAATATATATATATGGTTTCAAATAATACATTTGATGTTCCATTTTTTCATTACTGCTGATTCATATTAAATTAAATAGGTTTCATTGTACATAGAATATGTTATTTCATATTCATACATGTGATGTTTCATTTTTCATTTACGCTGTTTCATATTATATATCAATTGTTTCATTGTATATATTTGTTGTTTCTTATTATATTGAATTTGTTTCAATATATGTATATATGGTTTCAAATAATACATTTGATATGTTTCATTGTACATATAATATGTTATTTCATATTCATACATCTGATATTTCATTTTTCATTTAGCCTGTTTCATATTATATATCAATTGTTTCATTGTATATATTTGTTGTGCCATTGTTCCTTGGTACATCTAATTGTTTCATATTACACAGATCAAGGCATTTGCTAAATTTCTAAATGAAAAGAAAGTTGGGAATGGACGGGGAGTGTCTAGATTCAATACCACTATGAAGGAAATGAGATGGAAGAATAATGAGAATTATAATGACTACGGTGTATACGCTCTCAAACACATGGAAACTTACATGGGGCAGCTAGATGAATGTTGGGATATTGGATTTGACCCAAAAGATGTGAGTTTTTGTGTAATTCTTATATTAATTTATACATAATTTATGGTTCATTGTTCCGGTATTTATTTTGAATTGTTAATATATTTCAGCCTGATATAATGAAGAAGCTGAGGATTGAGTATTGTGGGAAAATATTGACAAGCCCTGCAAACGTACTACAAGATGAAGTTATAGCCAAATCAAAGACCTGGGCATTAGAGCAGCTTCGTCATGTTAATCAGTAAACAATGTTTATAATGTTTCCACATTAGTTGTAAGATACATAATTTTTATGCATGTCCTGGATAATTTAGCTAAACATCTTTTTATGTTTCGTATGTAAAGATGTGCGTATATTATTGTCAATTGTGAACTATTAATATGACACATTAGAAGTATTAAATGAAACTTTAAATATATAAAATGAAACAACAACTAGGTAATATGAAACAATGTGATTATAGGTTTAGCTAAACATGTTCTGGATTATTTTCCCATAATTAGAATTATTAAATGAAACTATAAATAGATAAAATGAAACAACGGTAACGTAATATGAAACAATATGAAACAACATGCATAGTCAACGGTAAGAAATAAATTTAAACCATGCACTGTCACAACTGAACACGTTTCCACATGAAACTGACAAGTGTAAGGTTTGCTTTTAAACTTTACAATAAATATGTTCTCAAAGCAACAATACCACACCAGTACTTTTAAAAAAAGATGACTAGTCAAATCAATACATGCTGCCACATAAAATCAATTTGCACACTTTGTGAAAAATATTATATACTCCGTAACTTTTTTATATAAAACATGCTTACAAAACATGCTAAAACGAATCTTAATTTTCAGGGAATGTTCCTACTGTTCCCATAAATGAAACAATTGTTACATATATTAGAACTAGTGTTTCTTAAAACTGATGCTTCTCAAAACTGATGTAACATATATTAAAACTTATGTTTCTCAAATGTAACTAATTGTTCCATTACAACAAACATAAAAATGAGTAAAACATTCCCATAAGAAGGAACAACAGCTGCACAAATCATCATGCTTTGTGAGGACAATTCCGAATATCATGATATGCTAGCTCGCCACAGCCACTGCATTTCCTCTTCGTTTTCTTTTTAGATTGTTCAACCGCTATTTCTTTGGCACCCTTTAATCTTTTAGACCCACTAGTTCCAGAGCCATCGTGAACACCTGTACCTTTATTCTTCGACACTTTAGGAGGCTGAACAAGTATTTCATCAGGAATGCTACATCCTATTAACATCTCAATATCATGTTCACTAGATCTTACATTCTGAGTATCTTCCAAAGTAACATTTTTTGTCGCTTCAATTTTATTCTTGAACTCTCGAATATTCTTAATAAAGTCCTCCTCATGACCTTTAACCCAACTCACACAAGAAAATATCTCCGACCACATTTCATTTATAACCACCCGCCTATCATCTTCGGTGTCTAAACAACTTATATCTAACACTGGTTTCTGAGTAGCATTTATTGTCCAACGATCTAAGATATATTGCTTTGGAATGCTTTTTAAATTCTTTGCCTTCCACATCCATATCATATGTCTTCATGGGATTCCTATCCTATAAAACTTCTTACAAGAGCAGGTAGTGTCATGACTAAAGCACTCAAACAAAACTTTAAATTTCCTTCTCCTATTTGCCTCAGTAACAATTGCTACATCAATACCATCTTCCTTCCTCAATTCATCTACACCACAACAATAAAAAGCACTATGAACTTCATCTTGAAATTCATAAAATACAGAAACGGTGTACACCTCAGAACCATGCCTCTCAATCAACAATTATGTCTTACATTGAGGGAATTTCTCCTGTAATTCATTGTCATTCTCTGCCTGACAATGTCTCTGTGCATCCAACGCAGTTTCATACCTCATGAAAAACTCCACAAGAGACACGTGAGGATTTACAACGGATGTAAAAAAATTATTCTCACTCTCTGACCTTGAGGTAGTTCTCATAATACCACCCATAAAGACATCTCTAAAATACGCTGGAATCCACATAGCTCTCATCTCAAACATCAAATTCAACCAATCATGATCTTGTAATTTAAACTCAACAAGAACATTGTTCCACTTCTCTTCAAATTCAGGTGCCTCAATTTCTAAATTCCAAACACACTTACTGAGTTCCTTCAAAAATTCAGTATCCTGAATGATATTCCTTCCAACTTTATCAGGCAGCTTTTTCATTATGTGCCACATACAAAATCTGAAGGACATTAATTATGGGACATTAGACCACTATTTTGAAACATTATCTTTTAAAACTGTAACATTATAGTAAAATTCCGGAACATCATCTTGAAGATTTGAAATAATAAAATAAATAATTGGAATAACTAGGCGAATTCTCGTAACAATTGATTAACCTAATGGAACGTCAGAACATAAATTTGAAACAATAAAACACTATATAGGAACAATGTTTTTTTTAAAAAAAAATTCAGAATAATAATATTTAACATCATCACAACAGCTGGAAACATCAATCAACTAATATGAAACATCAGACACGTATTTTGAAACAATAGTATTCACAAATGAATCAATGACATTAATTATGGGACATTAGACCAGTATTTAGGAACATTAGCTTTTAATACTGTAACATTGTAGTAAAATTCCGGAACATTATCTTGAAGATTTGAAATAATAAAAAAAAAATTGGAATAATTAGGCAAATTCTCGTAACAATTGATTAACCTAATGGAACATCAGAACATAAATTTGAAACAATAAAACACTATTTAGGAACAAGAATTTTTTTTTTAACAATAATATTTAACATCATTAATTTGAAACAATAATATGAAACAATAGTATTCACAAATGAATCATTCTAGTTGCAGTACAATAAAATCAATACTAACCTGAACCAATAAATTTGAAACAATAATATTTAACATCATAACAACAGCTGGAAACATGAATAAACTAATATGAAACATCAGACACATATTTTGAAACAATAGTATTCACAAATGAATCATTCTAGTTGCAGTACAATAAAATAAATACTTGTGCTCACATTGTTGGAAAACAGAATTTACAGCAATTTTCATAGCTGGATCTTGATCCGTAATTAAACAATTGGGCTCCCTACCACCCATTGCCTTAACAAATGTTCTAAATAGCCATTCGAATGAAGCAACATCTTCCTTTGCAATAAAACCAGCAGCAAAAGTGACACATTTCTTGTGGTGATCGACTCCCGTGAATGGACCAAATACCATATTATATCTGGAAAACATGAAACATACGCTGAAATTACGATTCCATATTTATGTCTACTGTTTCGTAATATTATTCCAATGTTCCGGAAATTAAAACAAATGTTACATCAAATTGTAAAACCCAAAAAAAAATTCAAAAAACTTTAAAAATAACACTATGATACCTGTTGCTTTGGTAGGTTGTATCAAACGAGAGCATATCACCAAATACGGCATAATTTCTCCGGCAAATAGGATCTGCCCATAAAGCTCTACATAGACAGTCGTCTTCATCCATTTCGTAATAAAAAAAATAAGCCGACCACATCAACTTTTTCCTCTTAAAATTATCAACAAACATCTGGGCGTCCGATCCTTCAATATACGCCTTCAAATCTCTATGAAAATTTTTGAAGTCATTCCTACTAGCGCCTATATTCTCATACCCACCAACATATTCCTTCACCATTCTGTATGTCTTGACAGGACCAATATTCACCTGTGGAGACAAAATGTAAAAAGACTAGACTGTTTGAGGACCATGATATATATGGAAACAGATCTAACAGTGCATATTTAATTTTATGAAAAAAAAGGCAAAAAAGATTTCAAAGATTCTAAATATAGATGTGAACAAAAAACAAAAAGGCACACATTTAATAACAAATAACGGTACACGTTATTCTTGATGGATAATGCGAAATTCGATGATGACATATTATATGAAACAAAAATGCACTTTATTGTTCCATATATCTGACCACCTGTTCCAAAAATGCACTTTATTGTTCCATATATCTGACCTACTGTTCCTACGCATTACCCTATTGTTACATTTGTTATAATAACGAAATAATTTTAAACCTTTACAACCAATCGCTCCAACTATGTTTCAATTATACGTAATATTGTTCCATTTATCAAAACCATTGTTCCATACAGTTGTACTTACACCTACTTGAGTATATACATTACAAACAATTGTTCCATCAAAAATAATATATATTTCATATTACAGTACTAATGTTTCATATATGTACACAATTGTTACTTCACATTTAAAATTTAATTATTTTAAACAAAACCATATTCAAATACGATTGTTCCATCCAAAACAATATATATTTCATATTACAGTACCAATGTTTCATATATGTACACAATTGTTACTTCACATTTAAAATTTAATCATTTTAAACAAAACCATATTCAAATACCTTTGAATTATCAATCACTACTACAATTTTGATCTATTGCAACCCCTAAATCCGTTGCATTATCCGTGGCATTAGGCCTAATGCAACGGCCATGTACCGTGGCATCTGCTGGCGTTGCAGTAGGTCTAATGCAACGGCTTATGACACCTAATGCCACGGCACCACTGATCCGTGGCAATAGACCAATACATGTTGCAACGGCATAACTTATCCGTGGCAATAGAGTACTAACTAATAATTATGATGAAATTGAACCTATTGCAACGGCATAACTTATCCGTGGCAATAGAGTACTGACTAATAATTTTGATGAAATTGAACCTATTGCAACGGATGAAGCTAATTAATACAATGGTAGGAGTACCTATCTACTGCAACGGATTGATCATTGGTTTTTTTTTTTTTTTTTGTTGGGATGGAATAGTAATATAATATTAATTAGTCGGCATAAATCTAAATATACTAACATAAACAAATTAAAGTATCATTTATATAAAATAATTATAATGCAAAATACGTACATTACAAAATATTACTTGCCTATTTTTGATATGACATACCGTACTAATAATAAATAAAAGTTAGATAATTAATTTGATCGTCCAAAATACAAATTGTCAACATATATATAAGCCGAAATATCCAAATCTTCACAAAGCCGGAACTTGAATAAGAGTCGCCAACATATATGCACCATTTGTTAGATGGCTAGTCACTATACTTCCGCTCCATTTGACTCCCCATGCACCTACACGTAAAATTGAAAAAAATAAAAGAAATATAATTAAACTAAATTATAAATTATAATAGACCAAGGCCACAATCAACATAGCTCAGATTATGGTTGTTTAAAAGATGGCAGCAAAGAAAATATTTTTTTTACACAGAAAGGAAAATATTATTAATTTATAGTGGCAGTAGCCACATTAATTACCAAAAGATAAGCATTCCAAGTCTGAAAAACAAAATAGCACCCCCGGAATATAACAAAGTACTAGCTAAATAACAACCAAGAAATAGAACTAAGTAGTAGTCAAAGGTATTCTGGAATCAAAAGCACCAGATTCATGCACTGTAGGTGAACTAATTAAGTTGCCACCATTATTTCTAGAAGGGGCACATTAGGAAAATTGTTAGAAGTGTGCAGCTAAGAGAAGCTAAAAACTGTAAGTCTGTAAAGATGTCAAAATTTATACCAAGAATTTCCTTATCATTCTTCTCCCATCAAAAAAAAAATCAAAACGGTGCAGAAAATTAATGCCCCCGTACATTGCTTAAATTTTTTTTATATTGCGCCTGATTATGACCAAAAACAGTAACATGGACCATGAAAACGAGTCTAGTGCCTCTCCATTAGCACAACACAAGGACACACATAAGGAGATAACACAAGAGAAGCATAGTGCACACAATATTAGTTTCTCAGTCTTATTTCAATTAGTAAACACAGTTAGCAGCACAAACTAGACATAAAAAATAATACAGACAGAAGATGTGCACCTCTAATCTTTTTGTAATCACAATCCACAATGAATTAAGCTCTGTTTCGTGCTTTATAATGTATGTGATATTAGTTCTTAAACAAATTGAAAGGCTTTGTTTCACCCAATGAGAATGTGAGGAACTCTAACTCTATTAGATCCATCAGCCATTCATTTGCTTAGTAAATAGCGTTCTGAAGGATCATTTTCAATCTGTAGGAATTTCAGCACGATGTTGGCTACATATCTACAAGCACCTAGGATTGTTGAACTATAGAAAATGTCTCAATACGATTACGTCCACTGAAGTTCTGTAATAAGGCTAATAAGGTAGATTTTAAATGGATATTACTTCAAAGAAACCAAATTTAAGAAACTTTCCATACTTCATAATCAACAAGATGAAATAACAGTGAGACAACAGGCAGGCATAGTCTATCAATCAATATTTTCCGAGACAATTGATAAACCTGAGTTTCAAACTAGAAACGGCCGAATCCTGCTAGTGAATGACAAATTTGACTAAGCAATGAAAAATTAAAATAAGGCACTACCCACTAAAGTCAAGCAGCTCTAACTTTGAAAATTTGTAAGCAATAGCAGAAAAAAAAAAA